ATGCTTAATTGTGCTCATATGAAATCTATACCTAGACCAAGAAGCTGTTGTCTGAACAGAACAAGGGAACACCACCTGGTTTAAAATGAGGAAGGGTGCATGTCAGGGTTGTATCCTTTCTCCATACCTAGTCAGTGTGGCCTGAGTGGTCTTTACAGGCAAAGATGGCAAAGCTTCATCTCTCATACTTTGGGTATTGCTAGAAGAGGCTATTCCTTGGAAAGGGCCATCATGCTTAGAAATATAGAGGGTCTGGTGCAACCACTGTGGAAGGCGGTATGGCGCTTTCTCAAAAAGTTAGAGATACCATTTGACCCAGCAATTCCACTACTGGGAATGTACCCCAAAGAGACCATGATTGACATCCAAGCAGATATGTGCACACCCATGTTTATTGTGGCTTTGTGCACAAAAGCAAGGAGTTGGAAACAACCTAAGTGCCCATCAGCAAACAAATGGATAGAGAAGCTGTGGTATATTCACACAATAGAATACTATGCTGCATTGAAAACCAAGGAACTCATGCAATATTATTCAAAATGGGTGACCCTGGAGGACATTATGCTGAGTGAAGTATCTCAGTCACAAAAGGACAAATACTCCATGGTGCCACTGTTGTAAAACAGGACTGACCTTGGGGTTGGGGAGAGACTGAGAAAGATGGGTTCAATAATATATACTGCATTGAAACAAATGGGGGAGAAAACTGTTTAAAAGGAATATGTGATTAGGTATTTTTGTCATGACAGGAGTCTAGAGTGAAGGCTACATGGTGGAGTGGACCTGGGGGAGGATTTGTAAAACAATGAAAGAATTTTTCTTTTACTTTTCCAAGAGGGTAGTGTACTAGGGGGGAGTGTTGGGAGGGGAGAAAAGTGCAACAATGAATGAATGGAAATCCAAAGTCTCTGTCAATTTTTCCTGAAAATAGTAATAAATTTAAATTTAAAAAATATAGAGGGTCAATGAAAGAGAGGAAGACCTCCAACAAAATTGACAAAGTGACTGTAGCAATGGGCTCAAGTGTGTAAAAAATGTGAGGATGACTCAGGATAGGACAAGATTCAGGTCTGTTGTTTATAGAGTTGATATGCATCATACAGGAGTGGATGGCACCTAACAACAACAGTACTACCAGAACATAGGATTTTCTTACTTGTAATATTTTACAGATCACAAGCAGTACATAAGTTCCAATCTCTCTAGATCTTTTCAATATTTATTGTTTTAGTTCTTATTCCTTGATTGTTTTTGGATTGGGTGGTTTGGTTTGGTTGTTATTTTTTTTTATTATTTTGCTTTTAAATTCAATCCCATTACAATTGAACTGAAGTCTATTATTATAGTTTTAGTTTGCCTTTCTCTAATGATCATGAGTATCTTTTCATGTGTTTGTTAACCAACTGAATGTCTTTGGTGAAGTGTCTATTCACTCTGGTGAAGTGCCCAGTTTTAAATGATACTGTTTGAGATGTTGATATACTCTATACATTTTAGAGAATTAGGTTCTTGTCATATACATTGTTGTAAAAAATTTTCCGCAATTTGTAGATTTTCTACTCTTTTGGAAAAGAGATCTAAATTGCCTATTTTTTTCCTGCTGTTTAGGCATTATTAGTTGTGTTTGGTTGTCTATTTATGCCATAATACAAAGCCCCTAGCTTTGTCTCTATTTTCTTTCATTAACTTTCTACTTTTAGGTTTAACATCTAGGATTTTATCCATTTTGAGTCTTTTTTTGTATAATGTGGGATCTAGATCTTGTTTGATTTTTCTGTAGTTAGATATCTAGTTTTGCGAGCACCATTTCTCAAAGAGAAATGTCTTCCTCTAGAATAGGCTTGGTTCCTTTGTTGAATATACATTGTTCATAGCTGGATGGATTTATTTCTGAATTCGCAATTCTGTTCCATTGTTAGTCTGTGTATTCAATGTTGGACTAGTGTCAGGCTGTTTTGATTACTATGGCTGGATAGGAGGTTCTGAAATTAAGAAGTATGAATTCTCATGCTTTACTATTATCCTTCATTAATTCTTTAGCTACCTGCAACCTCTCTCCTCTTCACATAAACTTGGAGGTCAATTTTTACATTTCATTAAAGAATGTGAGAATTTGGATTAGAATTGCATTGTAACTATAGATTGCTCTGAGTAGTATTGACATTCTCACAATGTTGCATTTTTCTATCCATGAGCAATGGTATATTTTCCCATTGATATAACTCTCCTTTGGCTTCTTAGGGTAGTATTTTATAGTTTTCTTTGTCCCTTTTCTGTCTCTAGTTAAAATTGTTTCTAAGTATTTTGTTCTCTTAGTGGTTATTGCAAATGGCATTGTTATCCTGATTTTCTTTTTGGAGTTGCCTCTGTTAGTATAGAGGACACAAGTTGTCTTTTTCTTTTTCTTTTTTTTAATTTATATTACACTGTGCCACTTTATGGACTTTTAGCAAATTTATTATGGCGTCTCCAGGGTTTTCTATGTATAAGATCATGTCACTTGTCAATAAGAATCGTTTAATTTCTTTTTTACTTATTTGGATGTTCTTTAAATCCCCTTCTTGCCGTATTGCTCTAGCTAGGACTTCAAGTATAGTGTTGAGGAAGAGTGATGACAAGGAACACCCTTGTCTAGTTCCCATTCTCAAGGGAAATATTGTCAGTCACTCTCCTTTGAGAGTAATATTGGCTGTTATTTTTGAATTTGCTATGTTGTTATGTGCTGTCAAGTCTGCATTGACTCACCACTGCCTCTCCAGTGGGTTTTCAGAGTCAGCAGGTCACAGGGGGGCAGTTTTCCATTTTTCTCCCTTGGAGCAGCTGGTGGATTCCAGTCATGTGACTTTGGGTTGGCAGCACCACTCTTTTTACCACTAGGTAACCATATGCCCTTAATTATTTTGAGGCATTTTCCTTTTATTTCTATTTTGCTCAGAGATACTTGGTTTTGTTTTAAATCAAGAAAGGATGTTGGAGTTTATCACATCTTTTCTGCATCATATGGGGGTGTCACATGATTCTTCTCTTTTGTTTTCTTTATGTGGTAAATGACATTCAGTGATTTTCTGAAGTTGAACCATCCGTGTGTTTCTATTATGAATCCCACTTGATGATGACAGATTATTTTTGATGGGATGTTAAATTCTATAGGTTACAATATTCTTGGAAATTTTTTCATCTATACCATTAATTATAGTGGTCTCATTTTCTTTTCAAATGATTCCTTGTGTAGCTTTGGTACCATAGTTATGGAATATTCTACCTTTTTCTATGTACTGGAATAGTTTAAGTAGAATTGGTATCAACTTTTCTCTGAATGTTTAATAGAATTCTGTAATGAAAGTATCTTATCTAGGGGTGGGTGATGGGAGGGTTTTTGTTTTTTTTTAAGAGATTCTTCAATTTATTCTTTTGTTATGGGAGGTCTTGATAGAATCTTCACAAATAAGAAAAGGATAGAAAAGAATATTTGAAGCAGGAGTGGCATCCACTTCTGAAGTAGCTTGCCTCCAGAAACTATGAATGTGGAGAAATGATGAAAGTTTTACAAGTGTTCAGGTCTGTCATTCATAGGGTTGCTATGAGTCATCTACGACTCGACAGCACTTAACAACTGTCAGAAGAAATACACAACTGACATTTTCATAAGCTAATAATATTAAAGATCACAGCAGTTTCAGAAACTGTGAATAGTGAGATTATTTAATAGACTGAATGACCAGATTGTTCATTCAGCAAGGTTAAGCCTTATAGAAGTCTTACTGGCATGCTTAAAGCTTGCAAGTTGAACAGAGGATCCTTCACCAAAAGAATAAACTTGTTCCCCCAGAGTCCTGGTTTGATGGGCAGGTCAGCAATTGATTGTCTAAAAGTAGGATATTAGACATGAGGCATGAAGTAACTATCTAGCTTACATACTTTCACAAAGAAAGTTGTTGATAGGATGATTCTGGGTGGGGGGGGAACCCAACAAAACAAACCCAAAATATAAAAGAACAAAATTTAATGTAAATGAAAAACTGTATGGAACATAATATGCCTACATGAAACACAATGTACATGAATGATAAAATATTAATTGAAAAAAGAAGTGCTCCTGGTTTCCATAGATTTTGGTTCATACGTTGTCCCCAAGAACACCTAAGGTATCTTTATCATAATTTCACAGAAAAGGAAACAAAACTTCAGAGTTCAACTGTTTTTCAAGTTTAGCATGAAGAGCTGCGATTTAAAATCAGATCAACTAAACATCAAATCCATTGTTTTGGAGTTTTTCCCCCCCAGGAATCAGCTAGAGAACATTTTACCACTGAAGCCTTTTGAGTATAAAAGTAGCATGATCGTTATGCTGAGGGAACTAACTCAGTCCTACAAGGACAAATACTGTATAAAACCATTCCTGTAGAATGAGTATGAGGATCCAAAGGGTGTGTGTGGAAATAGAGGGATGAGGATGGGGGATAGGGTACTAATCATAGGGTAGGTGGGGGAAGGAAATAGTAAGGATCTTTTGTGAAAAAGAATGTAGTCAAACTTTGTAAATAAATCAGTAAAATAAAAAAGTAAACAACAAACAAAAAAGTAGCATGTTCAACATGGAAGAGAAGAAGAAAAATGGCAAGATCAGAAGGCTCTATGACCTCTTATGTTACCTTGAGGTCCTTTAGCGTTCTAAATTAAACTCGGAAATATTTGTAGTCATCAATTCTAACAAAATCTTAGTGCCTGAATTTTATTCATTTAACATAAAGACACATTGTCAACACTCATATTATTGAAAGGCACTAAGCATTATCTCTCACATAAATGAACTCACAGTCTTTTAGAAAATATGGCCAAGTTTCTCCGGTGTATGAATAGAATTATATTCCTGTAGGTGTTATTCTGTGGGTTAATTTTTGAGGCCTCAAAATATGGGGTTTTACTTGCTATTGTTCAGTTATTTTAGATAAAAGTAAAAAAATAATACATTTAAAATAATTTCCTTATTGTACATTTAGATTTGGATGGAGCCAGTCAACTGAGTTATTCTGAGAAGCTTTCTTATGGTGAATGTGACCCCACTTCAGCCCACTCTCAGTCCCCTTATGAGAGAAGGGATACCAGGCACCATGGTGGATCTCACCAGGAGACCAGCACAATTCGCACCCTCAGTCGCCAGTCCACAGAAGGCAGTTTGGAGATGGAGAGAGCATTTAATAACCGAGGATTTGAAGATTCCTATGCCACTGACAGCTCCTCAGTGTGGAGTCCGGAGGCAAGTTATTTCTTTTCCAGTATATCATTGCTGTCGTGGTGTGTTCTTTTCTTTCTTCTTTTCTTCTCTCTCTCTCTCTGTCTTAAAAAAAAATAAATCTTCAGAGAGGATTGCCCTGGAAAACAAAGATTTAAAAACCTGGGACAATAAATCTTTCTAGAAATAAAATTTCTATTCGGATAACGAAAGCTTCTCATCTGTCAATAAAGGAATCATAAATAAATTTCTTTCTAAGCAGAAAAAAAAGAGGGCCAAATGGATTTAAAAGCAACTATACTTCTTTTTATATAAAATAATTTTTAGTTCTTTGAGAATGATTTACTTCTTTCATGGTTCAAATTAAATTTGTCAATTTCTTTAAATGCAAAATGTTCAGTTATGACTATTTAATTATAATTATTTGAGAATTGAACTAAAAAGATGCCCCTAGATGAAAGGTTATCAGTTACTGTGCTGAACACCAAGAATGAACCAGTTTGTTAGTGAATTCAAAGACTAGGAGACTGCATGCATCTACAGTGACCCTCTCATCATTGCTTTGTGGAGTAAATACTTGATTAAAGATGATTCTTCTAAATTTATTTTTTATTTAAAGCTCAAGACAGCTAGAAACATCTAAGCGCTAGAGACAGGACTGGAGGTAAAACTGATAGCAGTTGCTGTTTACTGAGCAGTTACTATATAACAAGCATTGTGGAAAGGACTTTGTATGAACTTCTTTATCTTACAGAAATTTATATAGTTATTTCTTTACCCACTGAAGCCTCCCTATTATGATTGCATTGCCTTGGATATTGAGTCCATAGGTGGCACAACAATTAAATGTTCAGCTATTAACTGAAAGATTGGTAGTTCAAATCCATCCAGCAATGCCATACAAGAAACCTGACAATCTTCTTTGAAAGGTGATAACTTGACCCTCTATGGACTGTAGTTCAACCCTAGAAACATGGGAGGTAAGCATGGGTTGAAATTGACTTGATTGCAATAGATAATAGTTGAGTGTAGGGCCTAATTTGAAATGAATTTTGATGAAGTTATAACTGTATGAAAACGTAAATGTCTATAACTTATAGGGAGGAGAAGGATAAATGGATTTTGTTAGCATCATTTTGACTAAGGAAATGAACAGATTGACTCTCTTAGTAGAACCTAGTCTGTCCCACCCATTAAGTTATTACCAAAGGGTAGAGGAGGGGAAAAGCAAATACCTGTTCCTAAGCTTTGCTTTGTAACACCTGGGGTGTATAGAGAGCGTGTCAGGTACTGCTCAGGTGTGTATGTCTGTGTGCTGTTGCATTTGGTCGGGAGGTCTGAATATGATCATTGATATGTGTGGATTGTGGCTTGTTAAAAGCAGCCCTTCCAATAGAGATACCATTAACCTGATAACTTTTCTAAAACAATTATTGTTTCATGTTCATTCACTGCTAAATCCCACACAATAACTTTTAAAATACTATTTTTAGCTATCTCTTCATAAAAAAAACAAAACATAACTTTTTACCTGCCCATTGATATCCCATCCGCTTCATAATTGTGGTGTTGAGCTTTGAATTGCCTTCTCTAGGTAACCTCCCATTTGTCTACCTCATGGAGTGTTAATAGAAGACTTGGCATTGAGGGTACTAAATGTTCCCAGACTCCAAAAATATCCAGACATCTCTGCATGCTCCATTCAACCTCTTCTCTATTTTGAGACAAAAACTGTAATTTGGAGCTCATACAGTAGAACCTCAAATGCAACTGGGAGGCAGTTCCTGTAACTGCCTGCTTTGCAGGCTTAGCATGCCTTTTAAGAATTGATTTATTTGCCTCTTAGCTGTATTAAGAACCCAGTCTTCCCCTGTGTGTCTGACATCTGGAACATATTGTGGGTCTGTTTACTTTGGGCCACACAGATGACATCAACGCTATCTTACTAAAACAGAAAGGCTTTCAATTTGACAGAAAATCTTTAAACTGACATGGGTTTTGACAATTTGATGCAAGTTTTCCCATCTTCAAGAAAACTCAGAATATTAGAGCTAAAGGAATCATTTCTTTTGCCTCAGAAGGAAACAGCTCATGCTGTGTGACTACCTGTTAAGCTGATGGATTTTCCAAGCACTGCTCTTCTCTGCTGGAAAAGGCCATTGACTTTTTCCTACACGCCCAGCGCTTGGCAAGGAAGATGACATGAGAGCGAATGGCAACTTTGAGTGCAAAGAGAGGCAGGTGTCCCACTTTTCATCTCTGCTTTCCACTGATTAACTGGTTGGCCTTGAGAAGTTAATTAAAATCTGCCAAATGGGGATAAAAATGGAGATATTTCTACCTTGCAGGAAGGTCAGGTGGATTAGCAGTATTAACAGTACCCACATGAGGAGCGCCTTCAGTTGCCTGGCGATAGGTAGAGCGTGTTGAGATAATTAATTGCTTCAAAAATACCAACCTTCACACACAGTTGTCTCTCATCAACCCAGAGAGGGTCTGCAAAACCCTGTTTTCCTGAGCCACAGCTTGGATCGGCCCCATCCAGAGCCCGGATGTTGCCTGGTGCTGCATCCTATTCAAAGCTCTTAGGACAGTTATTGCAGAGTCCTCCTGAGCACTTATGTAGATACCTGCGAGCAGAATGAACCTTCTCTGAATAGATGGCCTGGTAGATAAATGGAGAGACTCTCAATAACCAGGATATTTTTACCTTGGCATTGAAGTTGAGGTCAAAAGTAGAAAATGCTTGCCACTATGAAGTAAGGGGCCCCAAAGGATGGACAATTCAGAGAAATGTGTGTTTCCAACCCTGTTTCCTCACTTTATTTTCCCCCCTCAACTGTGGAAAAGGATTTGGTGGAGAAAGGAGATGTTAAAAGTCCACAATAAAGTTTGAGATTTTGAGATACTGATTAAGCACACAGGCTCTGGAGTTAGACTGCAAAGGTTTGAATCCAGTATGTAGAACTAGCTTTCAGTAGCTTCTAACAAATAAACCCTTCTCTATGACACAGCCCTGTTGCTGAAACTGAGGAGGACCTGAAGCACTTTCTGCAGAAGGTCAAGGACTGCAGCCTTAGATTGAGGCTCAATATCAAGAAAACAAAGATTCTTGCCACTGGGGAAATTGGAAACATCATTATAGAAGAAGAGATTGAGCCTGTTAACAGCTTTAGTTTGCTTGGCTCCACAATCAACACTATTAGCACCAACAGCCAGGAAGAAAGACATTTTGTGATGGAAAGGTCTGCTGTCTGAGACCTCTCCAAAGTACTGACAAGCAGCCATGTCGGTCTGTAGATTAAGGTGTACGTGATACAGGCCATGGTGTTTGCGTCAAGAACTGGACAATGACTAGGGATGATAGAAGGAGGAAAACTGGTGCCTTTGAGCTTTGGTGTTGGAGAAGAGTATTCAATATACCATGGACTGCTAAAAAAATGAACAGGTTCATGCTGGAGAGGGTGAAATCAGGCTGCTCCTTGGAGGCAAGGATTTTGAAGCTCTGTCTGACATATTTTGGACATGTTGCAAGGAGGGACCAGTCCTTAGAGAGGGACATCATGCTTGGGAAGGTGGAGGGATAGCACAGGAGAGGAAGACCCTCTATGAGATGGATTGATTTAGTGCCCGGCATAATGGAGGTAGGTGTGTCAGAGACAGCAAGGTTGGCACAGGATAGAGTTGAGTTTAGGGCTGTTGTACATAGTGTCACTATGAGTCGCAGGCAACTCAACGGCATATAACAACAACAAAAGTAGTTCAGTAATAGTAACAGGAGGGACCAGTCCTTGGAAAAGGACATCATGCTTATAAAAGTAGAGGGACAGGGTAGGAGAGGAAGAGCCTGGGTGAGATGAATTGGCATGACATCTGGAGCAATGAGATAAGGTGTGTTAGAGCCAGTAAGTCTGGTTCAGGATAGGACAAGCTTCAGAGCTATTGTACATAGGATCACTATAAGTCATAGACGACTCGATGGGCATATAACAATAGTAAACATGTGTGATTATTAAAAGATCATATTTCTCAGTGGTGTTGGTGGTATGTGCTGTTGAGTCAACTATGACTCCAAATGACCCTATGTACAATGGCTCTGAACCCTGCCCTTTCATAAGCCAGCGTCACTGTCTCTGATACATCTGGCCCCCTAATCACAGACACTGTGTCAGTCCATCTCATGCAGAGTCATCTTCTGCACCGAGATTGCACCCTTGTAAGCATGATGTCTCTTCCAAGGATTAGTCCCTCCTTGCAACATGCCAAAAGTATGTGAGATGGCGTTTCAAAATTCTTGCTTCCATAGAACAACCTGGTTTCACTCTCTTCAGGGAGGACCTGTTTGTTCTTTTGGCATTCCATGGTTCAATGCTTTTCGCCAGGAGCACAACTAAAAGGCATGATTCTTCTTCTGCCATTCTTAGTCATTGTGCAGTTTTCTCATGCATATCTAGTAAGTGAGAAGACCACGGCAAACACTTCAGGTCCTCCTTAGTTTCAGCAAGCAAGATTGTGTCATCTGCATAACAGGTTGTTGATGAATCTTCCTCCAATCTTGATGTCACATTCTTCCTGATGAAGTTCAGCCTCCCTAACAATTTGTTCCACGTATGGATTGAAAAGGTGTGGAGAAAGAATATATCCTGACAAAGTCCTTTCTTGGTTTTGAACCATGCAGTGTTTCCTTGATCTGTTTGTATGACTGTTTCCTTGTCTAAGAATATGCATCACATGAGCATAATCAAGTGTTTGAAATTTTCATTCTTCTCAATGCTCTCATGCAATAATTGTGATCCACAGATGCCCTTCAATCATTAATAAAATGCAAAAAGTCGTTCTTCTGGTGCTCTTTGCTTTCAGCCATGATTCATCTGACATAAGCAATAATGTCCCTAATGCTATGGCCTCCTATAACTTATGACACAGCTTGTATTTCTGACAGTTCTCTGTCCGTGTTCTGTTTTGGCCATTTTTTTTCACCCAATATAATCTTCAGCAAGATTTTGCTTGCTTATGGTATTAGT